GTAAAACGTATTAAAAAAATATTACTATTAAAATTTATATCTTCGATCAAAACAATGCTATGAGCTAAAACAACTTTCAAACAATGGTGACATTTGAAACTTGCATGTAATTAGCAACAATTTTCATATAAAAAAGATAAAAATATTGCTAAAAATGATTATGAAAATACAAGTGATGATATTGCTTTATTCAACTTAGTAAATATATCTACTATATTAGCAAGTTCACAATTATCTAATATTGGTAAAAATGTTGCTGAAAATGGTTATGAAAGTACAAGCAACGATAATCATAATGATATCGCTTTATCCAACTTAGTAAATACTGCTATATTAACAAGTTTACAATTGTCTAATATTGGTAATACACTGTCAAATTTAGAAATAAATATTACATCTGCTATATCAGTAAGCTTACAATAGTCAGATATAGAAATTGATCTTAGACAACACAAAATTGACAAACTTTTAGAGAATGTGATCAACTTGTCAGATTTAGTTCTAACAACATTTATAAATATAATCAAAAAAATTGCACAAGAGCAATTTCGTTAACTGCAATATATATATATATTTTTTTAATATTAAGGTGACTACTTGGGGGGTTTGGCACAGTTTATTAAATTCTTAGTTCAATTATCAGGATGCCGAATAGGTACCCTTGACTTTGTTACATCAACAAGAGTACAATTAGTCATACGTACAACTTTAGTCATTGTTTAATTAAGGGTTCCACTATACTATCTATAGTTACTCACCAATTGCTATATCTAGAATCCGTTTGTGGATCCCCTATTTAAACTCTCTGATCAACTTAGTACTATCAGATGCTTTCTTCAGAGAATTTCTGCTGCTAAGGCCCCTTAGGACTACTTTATCCTCATGGTAAACCTACCAGGGCAGTCCATGTTCTATACATATATAATCTAGGTTTTCAGTAACTTACACCCAATCCGAGGACTAGTACTTGCAGCTTTTGTAGTCGCTACTATTACCTACTCTTTGCCCTTAAAGGTTCATTCCGATCCTGATACCCACTTTCAACCGGTTCTTATACCAATCCCTCCCCAACTACCAAACCAGTTAGCCTGAAAGGGTTGTATCTGGCTCTAAGTGCTTTCTGGTTTTACTTCTTTTGGTTCTGAATTCTGTAGCATTGAACCTTTTTTTCCAGTGCTACTCTGGTAGCCAGGTTGGTGGACCCTTCTTGCCCCAGGGTTGTTTGTCCAGTTCTTCGGTCTTCAGTTCTGATTTTCTGTAGTATCGTTAAAGATCTTTATTACTCCAAGCTCG